CCTCATTAAGAGTGATTTTTAGTTTGTAATTCTTACCTTAGCATATTTTCATAGATCTTTGTTTTTCCTCATTAAGAGTGATTTTCATTTCATGTAGCCCAGTTATTTATTATTCTAGATCCTCCACTTAGTAGCGTGAGTAGATTATTGTTTTGGTTTATTTTTATATAGTCAGGATTTTCCTCCGTACGGAGCGTTTTGTGTTTATCGGTTTGTTTCTTTTGATTAGTACCTTTTTCCTCCTCCGGGAGTGTTTTTTGTTCTTAAGATTCAGAGACTAGTGCCTAGGTTTTTCATAGCCATTGGTTTGTCACTCTGTCTGAGGTCTCCAGTGAATTCAATAAAAGCCTTTGGTTTTCTAATATCTCTGCATCTGAGTCCTGCTTTGAGTCTCGGCCTGACACAAGACAAATAAAACCCCTCAACTGCCTATAGAACAATTCAAAGTTAAACTAAGTGAGGAATGAGAGGGGGAAATCGACGGAGAATCCAGAAAACCCAGGAAAAAAATCTAGAAATCGTGATGGAGGCAAGCGCTAAAGAAGAGGAGAGTGGTGGCGAGGCCGTGGCCTGGGAGAAAACTCCGGCGCAATTCAAATGCCTGGCGGACATCACCAAAGAGATACGTGAGCTCAAAGAAGAAATGAAAAACGACATAAAGGCTCTCAACACAAGCTTCACACAGGAGTTTGCAAACTTCAAAGAAGACGTCAACAACAAACTTCAGGTGAACAGTGACGAGCTACAGGAACAGAAGAGGGGTCTCGGCGAGGCCCAAGCACGTATCGATGAACTCGAGACATTTAACATGGAGGCGAAATAGGCGCTGCTGACAACACATTGCAAACAGAGAAAGCTGCAAGAAAAGTTAACTGACCTCGAGAGAAGGTCCAGGAGGAACAACATGCGGATATTTGGGGTACCGGAAGGCGCAGAAGGGGACTCGGTCCCCCACTTTATCGAAGAGCTAATACGGAGAGAGCTAACTCTGCCCGAGGGCACCAACCTGCTGATTCAGAGGGCACACTGAGTGGGAGCGAGGAGACCCGACCCCGTAGAAACGCCACGGTCTATAATCATTAACTTTCTCCAGTTTGATACAAAAGAAATGATATTAAAGAAGGCATGGCAGAATCGGATTAAAATAAACAACATACCGCTCTTTTTTTACCATGACTACGCGGCTGAAGTGGTGTAGAAATGCAAAAAATACGGGGAAATAAAAAGGACCCTGAAGGACCGAGGCATCAGGTTCCAGACCCCCTTAACAAAGATCAAGATCCACTGGGCAGATGGACCCCGGCTCTATAACAGTGCACACGAAGCAGCAAAAGAGATGAGGATAAGGGGGATGGAGATCCAGGTGAGGAAGGCTGACGAGGGGCGCGCGCTGGAGGAGCGGATACAGGCAGCATCCCGGTAGCAGCGCGATGGAGATCCAGGGTCGCAAGGAGAACTAAACGAGCGTGTGAGAGGAAAGTTATGCGAGTTTCTGAGATACGGAGACACAGACGGTGTTTGAGTGAAACGGTAGGTATAGATGTGAACAAGTTTTACATATAGACACGGGATGAGTGGCCTACATACTGCAGGGCAATATTGAGTTTATAGGGGGAAAAAAGACAGACTATGTAAGACACTGTAATACCTGAGGTCATATTTTTAACTTCTTCACTAATTCCTGGTAAGAACGGTAGGGGTTGTATTTTAGTTTATTTATTGACTTCTGGGTGTAAAGCCACACTTTTTCCCCTGTACATAGGCTTCTTCTAAGAAATATCTAGACTGGTAAAGCAAGATTATTGGGAAACGTTCGACATTACTAGAAGGCAAGGGGGACCCCACTTAGGGCCTCCACCCACCTCCACCTTGGTGGACCTTCCCCTTCAATATTAAATTGTGACTATAAAATATATACAACCATTCTAGCTAAGAGACTTGAGACCTTCATGCCAGAACTAATTAGTGAGGACCAATCAGGATTTATCAAAGGACACCAAACGCAAGACAATATAAGGAGGATTCTGCGTATAATTGATAAAGTACAAAAGAAGGGAGAAAGTGCACTGTTGCTTTAGTTTGGATGCAGAAAAGGCCTTTGATAGCGTCAGTTGGAAGTTTTTATATTTATGTTTAGAAAATTTCGGCTTTAACACAGATTCGGTAAATGTCATAAAATCACTCTATCAGGACCCAAAGGCTAGAATAAAAATAAATGGTAACCTTACCAACTGGTTCAATCTGGAAAGATCTACCAGACAGGGGTGCTGTCTATCACCGACTATCTTTGCAATTTTCATCGAGCCTTTGGCTCAAGCAATACGAGAGGATGAAGGTATTGCGGGGATAGAGGTGAAGGGAACAGAACACAAGATTGGGCTTTTTGCGGACGACGTTTTGATTAGTCTAAAACAACCAGATGAGTGTCTTCCTAACCTTATGAACAGACTGGAATCTTTTTATCACTTGTCAGGTTATAAACTCAATATGACCAAAACACAGGTTTTACCCATAAATTATACCCCACCCCAGGATATTCAACAAGCATATAAATTCAAATGGAATGCAAAAACAATAAAATATTTAGGAGTGATCATTGTTCACTGCTGGTAGCAGTAGGTAACAGTAGATAAGAGTAGATAACAGTAGATAACAGCAGGTAACAGTAGGTAAAAGTACAACATTAGGTTACACCTGATAGGTAAAAGTAGGGAAAAGCAGGTATTAGTAGGTTATGTCTTATAGGTAACAGTAGGTTATGTCTGATTACCTATTACCTATTACAGTTTGAGGATTGTGAGACTAAAGCAGCTGATGGATAAAGTCCAGCTCCTGGTCAATTGGGTGATTGGTATTTAAACCCAGGCTTCCTGGTAAAATAGGGAGTTTGTGAAAGTCAGTGCTTCATCCAGTTCTGCACATTGTACTACCTCCATTACCAAAAGAGCTAGGACCCTGGACCCGCTGAGTTTTCTTTCTGCAGGGGGTTGTTGTTTACATGCTCCTGGTGAAACAGGTAAAACAGTGTAGTAAAGGAGATGGGACCTTTTCAATCCTTCACTCAACAAAAACTAGACATGAGGGGGAGGAGCTACTCTTTGTTCCCAACATCAAGTGTCCATGGATGAAGGAGCATATTCTCATGAAATCTTAGGTTCAATCCAGGAAGAATGGTGGTCCTTGGTAAACCCTTCTACTCTCTACCCAATCTACTAGCCAGCCAGTATGGTCCTTCCCATTTCTATAGGCTCTTCTAAAGCATGCCTGGTATGGGGCTCAAACAGTGACTAACATTTTGATATTGAAAATAAAATTTAGCATTGAAAACATTTGGTTTTGTCATGGTTTGCCATGGCAGACACCTTTTGTTAGTTTTGTTTTGGACTTTTCTCACTTCCTGTTTTATTTTGTAATTGGTTTCCTTCTGTGTCTCTGTTTTTGCTTCCTGTCTTGGTCCTGTTTCTGTGTGGTGATTGTCTGCCCTGCCCTAATGTGTTTCACCTGTGTTCAATCACCCTTGCCTGCCTTGTGTCTATATAGTCTTTGTGCTCCCCTTTGTCTGTGTCGTCGGTTCACGTTGCCTGTTCATGTCTGGTTGGTCGCAGAGCTGTTCATGTCTGGTTGTCCCCAGTCTGTTCATGTCTGCTTTGTCCTCGGTCTGTTCATGTTGCCTGTTCCTGTTTCTTGTTTAAGTTCCTGTGTTTCCCTGTGCTTCATCAGTGTTGTGGAAGCTCTTTGGTTTAAATAAACCTTTTGCACCGTCTCCCATGTGTTGGCTGCATTTTGGGTTCAGCCTTACCCCCCCCCAAACCCCGACAGGTTTTGGAAAACAGTAGTTGTACTTCCAGTGGTGGTCATAGAGTCTGACACAGTCTCCCATACTCACTTTTTCAAGCTGCAATAATAAAAACAAGTGTACGCTACACAGGGAGTTTTTATGTCTCCATGCCTGACGATTTCAGGTTGATCCGTCCTTCTGTCTCATTCTTGTGAATGTGATATCTCAGTAACACCTTTCGGGAACTTCTTCAAATTTGGTACATTCACTTGGACTCAGATGAACTGATTAGAGTTTGGTGGTCAAAGGTCATGGTGACCTCACATTCTTGTGGATGCAATATATCAAAATTATAGGTTCCCAAGAGTCATAGACCAGTGATATCTTAATCCTGCAGTTTCTGACTTGGCTTGAAGGGAAAAACCTCTGCTGGCAGGATTCTTAGGTCTCATTACCATGAGAGAGGTGTCACACAGTTATATAAACAACTCTGCTCTGAGATTCACAGCAGTAAAAAGCCCTTACAATTTACTGATAAGGGCAATTGACCTGAGACAGGAAATCCTGTCTGCTTCTCATGAAGTCAAGCTTACATGACTCAGCACTGGTGAATATGCATGAAGGTAGTTCATACTCATGCACCCTGTCCTGACTGGCCTGCAAAATGACAGTATGGACCTGAACAGTGATAAAGTCACCTGCAGCCTCACTCGCTGCAGCTTCACCCTCTGCTGCCTCACCTGCTGCAGCCTCAAACACTACATGGAGAAACTGAACATGCACCGATGAAAACGACATAGAGAACACAAAGAGACATGTTGCTCTATCACAAGTATATGAGTACAGTCCAGTCCAGTGAAGTCCAGAAAGAAAATCTGAATGGAAAAAAAAAAAACAACTGATTAGCCCATTTAGGGAGCTCAAAACATTAGCAGCTACAGTCATCACCATTTAGTCTGTCAGAATATAACACTGAGTTTTAAATTAATAACTGTCTTCTTGTAAGTCAATTTAAACTACTGATTTACACTGACTATATGGATGTGTGTGTATGTATTATCACACTGCGTGCCACACCCTCTGTTGTTTTTTGTTTTTTGCTGTGTTATTGAATTTGGTAACATCACTAGTCAGGAGTGGTAGAGAAGTATGTGAGACTGGTGCAGGATGTGTGTGAGGACAGTTTGATGGCGGTGAGGTGCTGTAGGACTGACGGATGAGTTCAAGGTGGAGGTGGGATTACATCGAGGATCGTCTCTGAGCTCTTCTTATTTACAGTGGTGATGGACAGGTTGACAGCTGAGGTCAGACAGGAGTCTTCGTGGACGATGATGTCCATGCATGACGTCATCTGTAGGTAGGTGTTGGAGAGAGTCTGGAGAGGTGGTGGTGTGGACTGGATAGAAGAGAAATCACAGTCAGGAGGAGCAAGACAGAATACATGTGTGAATGAGAGGGAGGACATATAGGTGGTGAAGGTCAATCAGTTCAAAGGGTCAACCATCAAAGTAATAGAGAGTGTGTTAGAGAGAAGGAAAGTACAGGTAGGGTGGAGTGTGTGGAGAGTGTCAGGAGTGATATGTTACAGATGTAACAGATGTTACAGCAGCTAGCTGTGTTGTCTGGTTAGAAGATAGTGACACTGACAAAACCACAAGAAGGGGAGCTGAAGATGCTGAGATTTTCATTGGGAATGACAAGGATGGACAGGATGAGGCACTAGTATGGATGGGAATTGATAACATTTTATTAATAACAATTTCATTATCGATTTAGCTTGTCAGTCTTATTCTTTATCGATTCCCTTAATGATTCCACACACCAATTCCACCACAGTCACACCTGACAGAGCTTTGGTGGTACAATATAAACATGAGCCTGGAGTCTATGTCTGCAGATTTATTATTAAATGTATCAGCTTCATCAGGTCCATTCAAACTGACTCCCCCAGATTTCACTTTAGAAATATAAAATACTGTTTATACTGTGGTGAACACATGATGGTTATTATTTACTGAGAGATGTGCATCCATGTTGCCCAGTGTGCCCAGCTAATCAACAATAAACAAAGCTAAGATGATCATTGTGTTGTTTTAAAATTATGTTCATGTATTATCGGGATGTGGACCTTGTGTATAGGCTCTGACAAACATGCAGGCAATAAAATCAATAAAAGTGTGGAGAAAGTGTTGCACACTTGAATTAAAATGAATTAAAACCAGTGTGGCTTTTGAGTTTATCTTTCTGAACAGTTTACCTGCAAAATATAGACACACATTTTGTATACAGTCTTTCCTCTTTTGCTTGGTGCACTGCATTATAATTAGTGGCCTGGCCTTGTTTGATCTTGCTTGACCTACTCACTTTAGGTGATAGTCCCTCTTGTGGTGTAACAGAGGAACAACTTCTCTTAAAGTACTATGTCTTCTTACGGGAGACTGGAGCACCAATTATCTTGTGACAACTACAGAAAACAACACATTTTAATAACCTGAATGTTAAAATTAAATTAAGTATTATAAGGAAATAAGATATTAGAGATATAGGGGTGGCTTATTTTCCTCCATATATCACTTCTTGCCCTTACAAAAGTCCTTGACTGTCAGGACTGCTTGGTCTGTGGTCTTGTGGTAGTTCTCACTGAAGGTGTGTTTGGGTTTTGATCCTGTTTGAGTCATCCTCCATTAAGATTTAACTAGAGAGTGGAGCATTTCTCTGAAGGATGGAGTGGTTCTTCTCCTTGGTCAGGGTGTGGTCAGTTTGGTGCAGTAATCAAAACACCCCCAGACCTGATCTTCTTGTGATCACCTTTGGTGTGACTGATCAGTTTCAGTTACATTCACTTCATCCTCATGAGCCTTCAGTCTCTCCATGGTGTGGAGTGTGAAGCTCCTCTTGTGTGTATGTGTATATATATATATATATATATATATATGTATGTGTGTGTGTGTATAATATACATGCACAGGGAATTTACCTGCAGAATGGAGTTGTAATGTGTGTTTGTGTTTGAGCCGACATGCTTACATAAGAAATCTCACTTCACCTCTGCCACACAAACACACACTGTGTGTCATTATGGACTGAAGTGGGCTGGTTTTGGCTCAGCCATTATCTTCTTACACAACCCACTACAGTGAAGAGTGTGTGCGTATGTGTGTGCATTCACATTAGTCATGTGCTTATGTGCCATTTTAAGTCATTTCTAAAATTGCACACTAATAAGGCAGAGCTGTGTCTATCAGCCTCTGCCCCTCTTTGTCAGCAGGGCTGCTGAGCTCATGAGTTGTGAGTCTGACATACAACTGATAAAACCACTATCACTTAAAACAGAAAGTTTACCAAACCTGGTGGAAGAATCTCTCTGACTCTCTGTCTTTATACAAAACAGTAAGACCAGCATTCACATTAATCAGATTAGTCAGAACACTGTTCGGAACACTGTTCTGATGTTCTGACAAATAATAAATCAGTAATTATCAGGTGGAAGATCCTCACATAGCAGTCTGGTCTTATGTGTCTCAGTCAACTGTCACAAGGTGACAGGGGAGGACTTATTGGGTGCACTAAGATGGCTGCCTCCAGCTGCAACCAATCAGCCGCTCATTGACTCACCCATCAAAGCAGATGTGCTGCAGGTGTGTTGAGGCAGAGACTATGTGGTGAATGGGCCACAAGCTGTGTGGGTGTGTATATAACTGCAGGTATCAGACCACAAGAGGCATGGGGAGATTGCAGAAGGGAGAAGGAGACCGCTGAACAGAGGGGAAAACGAGACGGCAGTGGAAGGGACCCAGGCTGGCAGGAATCTGGAGGAAACCGAAGCTAAGTGACTCTCTCTCTCAGCCACATTTCTCTCTACTCGTTTGAGCAAACTGCTATGTTGACGCAGCTAAACCGCCTGACCAGTGGAGTGCTATGAGACCCAACCTTGGCTAGCATGCTATATTAATATTTTTCTTTATCACTGTGTGGAGTGTGACCTACTTTAACCTTTTTGTGTGCTGATGACTCGATAGTATGCCCATTGTTGGATAGGTGGGCCAGAGCCTGGAACAATCACTGAGAGTCAGCGGACTGGACTTCTAGCTTCAGCGGAGATTTGGGGAGAGAGAGAGAGAGAGAGAGAGAGAGGGAGAGACCCAACCACCTATGCTGGAGCCCTTTTAACTCCCGATTCCCCCTTCCTGCCTGGATGATTTGAACGCACCTGTGTCCATCCCCCCCCCCCCTTCTCCAAACTAGAGTTTTTACACCCTCTTTTTGATATAAATAAAAAGAGACTGTTTTAACTTTTTAAGTCCTGTGTGCTGGCATATTTGGGCGGGTGTGGTTTACTCCTCTGGGTAGCGCTCGGGACAGAACCGACACAGGCCGTTTCCACCTGTTACACAACCATGGTGGTGTAATAACCTCAGGAAATTAATGTTAAACCACATCTGGATTTTACCTGTACACAAGGACAGTAGCTCAGTAGCTAACAACAGTGAGCAAACCGCTTGAGGAGCTTTAACACCACTATCTGGACTGGAAGGTTTACTCCAGTTTACATGTAGTTGGAACAACCAAAACACATTGTAATCAGAGACACATGTTGGGTGTAAACCAAAGTATATGAAACCACATCTGGATTTTATCTGGCAAATCGAGATGGGGCCAAGCTTTTAGTAGTGACCCTGGAAAGATCTGATTCACACTTATAGGGAAACAGAGACTGAATTTATCATTTATTGAGACAGAACAACAAATCACACAACAATGAACTATTGTCTCTAAATTCATCAACATTGAAACTAGAATATTTGTACTTTAATGTCTATTTGTCCTCTTTCATAGATTTAGTTTAAATTGTTACATCAGATAGAAATAAGAGATCACCTGGGTCATTTTCACATGTAGTAGATTACATTAATAATCTATCATATCTCCAATAGTTAGAGACACCGTCCTTCTCTGTGATCTCATATTGAACATCACACATTACAGATGTTGTCATATAGTTATAGTGTGTGTTCTACTAACTGTAGTGTAAGTACAGTAGTGATCAGACTGTAGTGTTAAGTGCCGTAGTGATTAGGGGTTGCACAACTTCAGATTTTTTAAAGTAATTAAAGTCAAGTCTACATAATTAATTTTAAAAAAACGCAGGAGAATGTAATGCTTTGCAACAAAGGACAATCTATATTCTCAAATTATAATGTATATGCTGACAAAAGACAGCTCATACACATCTTTTATACAGAACAGAAACTGTAGAAACAACAGGTTGCAAACTAAGCAGCAGCTTAGTGAGACGATCTACTAAATTGTGAGGTTGGATACAGTTAAAAGCTGAAGAGAAATCGATAAAAAGCAGGCATACAAAATTCTTTGCACCATCCAAATGACCCAGAACCATGTTAAGTAGGGTGCAAGTGGCCTCCTCAACACCCCTACCTGCCCTGTAAGCAAATTGTAGTGGGTTATTACAATTCTCTCAAAAGTTTTTATAACCAGAGAAGTAAATGCCACAGGCCAAAAGTCATTGAGGGATCTTGGTACTTTAGTCACACATACAAATCACAGAGTCCTTCCAGAGGCAAGGAACCCTATGAAGTTAAAGTGACTTCATGAAGATGAAGGAAAATATGTCAGGCTCTGCACAGTTCTTAAGAAGTTGACTACTAATATTGTATGGGCCAGGACTTTTCCTCTCTTTCACTCCCCTGAAAAGTTTAAAAACCATGTCCCCATCAACAAATGTCTCATTCTGCTCTGATCAAACTTTGTTGTAAATAGACAGTTCCTTACTAAAATCATGAATGTTAAAACAACTGTAAAAGTTATTCAGCATGTTAGCTAGTTCAGGGTCGCATAGCTCATAGTTTTTTTTTTTTTTGCAATATATTTGTATATATTAGAATATTTTTGGGGATTAATATTTTTTTATTCTAGGTCATTTTGTCTGACAATCGGCTTTGTCTGGCTGAGCTGAGGAAGCCATACCGTGGATGCAGAGCCGGGACTAAGCTAAAGGCTAGGAGATAGAATATAAGCCTTTTCAACCATCGATCCTCATGGGATCAATGTCAACTCTGTGGCTAACAAGTATGATGAACTGGAGGCACTTGTGAAGAACCAGCGAGCATATTGTGAGTTTAGTCTCGTGTGATTCACAGAGACACTAGTTAAACGACAATACTCCTGACTGTTGTGTGGATTTACCTTCACTGCAGTACAAGTGGACAGAGAGACGCCAGAGCAAGTGGAAAGAATAAAGGTGGAGGACTGGTTCTGTTTGTGAACAATAGATGGTGCAACCCAGTGTCATATCACAGTGAAGGAGATCTGCTGTCAGGATATTGAACAGTTGGTCTTAGATCGTACTATGTACTGAGGGAGTTCTCTCACATTGTCGCGATTGTTGTTTACATTCAACCACGAGCAGAGCCTGCAGTCACATGTGACGTCATTCACGGGTCTGTTGCAAGAGTACAGACCCAGCACCCTGATGCATTCCTTGCAATATCGGGGGATTTTAACCATGTCACGCTCACCTCTCACCTGACTGGCTTCACTCAGTATGTTGACTGTCCCACAAGAGAAAATAAGACACTTGATCTGTTGTATGCAAACGTCAAGGAGGCCTACACTGCTACCAGCAAAGACTGTACACTGCTTTCCAAACAACAAACCCTGGATCACCGGTAACATCTAGATCCTCCTCAACCAGAAAAAGGAGGCCTTCAGGGATGGAGACAGGTGTGTGCAACATGAGCTGAAGAGGAGATTAAAGCAGGTGAAGAGGACTACAATAGGAAAGTACAGAGGAAGCTGCAGCACAACAACACCAGGGAGGTGTGGAAGGGGATGAGAACCATGACTGGCTATAAAGAGAACAACCAGGCAACATCAGGTGATGTGGACAAGGCCAATGAGTTTGACCTGTTCTACAAGAGGTCTGACACAGCCTCACCTGTTCTTTCTCCCACTGCTTCAGCTGCAGCTTCTATTATGGCATCTCCTCCACAACCTGACACTGCAGCTGCAACTCCCTCCATACTGGTCTCCTGTCCTTTTCAGCGGAGGAGGTGAGGGTGGGGCTCAAGAGGCTACGTCCTGGAAAGAAAACAGGTCCGGATGGTGTGTGTCCGAGGTTGTTAAAGGACAGTGCAGCCCAGCTGGCTGAGCCTCTCCAGAGGATCTTCAACTTAAATTTGCAAACAGGGAGGGTCCTGGTCCTGTGGAAAACATCATGTCTTGTTGCGGTACCTAAATTAAAGCTGGGATAAATGACTACAGACCGGTGGCCCTCACATCGTGAAGACCCTGGAGCGGTTGCTTCTCCACCTTCTGAGGCCTCAGGTTGAACATGCACTAGACCCCCTACAGTTCGCCTACAAAGAACATATTGGAGTGGATGATGATGATGTTCAAAGGGGTTTATTGTTTGGGCTACACTCACAGTGAGAAGTTATGGTTCAGACACTGATTGTTGGGGCTACAGTCACAGTGAGAGATTATAGTTCAGAGGTTTGTTGTTTGGGCTACGGCAACAGCGTGATGTTATAGTTCAGAGGTTTGTTGTTTGGACTACAGTCACAGCCACCTGTCACAGAACCAGAAACCATGTTCATTTTCTTCTTCCTTGTCACAGAGGGACACTGTAATATGTATCTCCTTCATTAAAATCCAAGATGATTTTAAAATTAATAATTATATAACTAACTATTTGTTGTACATTTGGTTAGAATCACATATTAATGTAACCTACTACAACCGCTACATCACAGGCCTTAAACAATTACAAAATTAATATCTAACTTAATTAATTCTATTATATTATAATTAGGAGAGCTATGCACCTTTTGTTCTGAGGGGGTAACACAAGTGAACACATATTGACAACATGGAACATGGAGGGAACATTTACCTTCTCAGTCTGCACATATCACTATGTGGAATTCAGCCATAACATTTATCTAAAGGTGGGGTTGACTACTACTACTACTACTATTATCATTATTAATAATAATAATAATAATAATAATAATAATAATAATATTAAACAGGCTTCCTGTGAAGTAGCATGCTCACTAAACTGTGACTGTAACGTAGTGTCATAGTGTTTGCTCCTTTTACCATGCAGCCTAACTAATCTGGGATCACTGTTGTCATGTCCTCTCCTTGTTGAGCTGTAGTGAAATGAGCATATTTTTTGTGTATTTACCGCACACACCTCTAATCTGGTTAAACCTCTGTGATCTGTGATGAAGTCAGTGTATTTTTGTGTATTTACCTAACACAACTCTCAAATGGTCAAATCTCAGTGAGCTATCAGAGGCTGAAGGTCTCCTCAGTCAGAGTAAAACACACAGTCTGCTGTTGACATTGTTTGCAGGTGTGTTGCAGCTGTTGGTCTCATATGGGGGGGTGATGTCCCAGGAGAAAGGGGTGATAGTGTCAAAGTGAGAGGGGTCTGGGGCAGTGACTCCATCTGAGAATGTGTCTCTGTGTTCAGGCTCATCAGGATCAGTTTTCACATCAGAATCTAATGAAAGATTTAAGTTGAATTATTTAATTAACCACAGTTCACTGATACAGTTTACTGAAGTCCACATGTTCACAACACAGAAAATTAGTTACTGCAGGTCTTTACAGTTACATGTATCTTTTCTTCTTCACCTGGTTTTCTCTGGTCATCAAGGACCTCCATGTAAAGACTCTTCCCAACCTCTCTTCCCATGATGCTCTCTTCTGACGCCAACAGGTTCCCCAACAGGAAGTAAGTGGTCATGTGGCCTTTACCCTTCACCTCAATCTGCCCACGCTGTTGTATGTTGAACCCTGCGTCCTTCAGCTCACTGAGGAGGGGGTGTGAGTGGGATGTGGGGATTGCAAAGAGTATACAGAGAGCCAGAAGAATAATAAGTAAAGTTCTACAAGATCCTACTGTACTTCAGCCATGTATGTGCAGGACTTAGATACATACGTTTTAATGTTTACAAGAGTTGTGTGTAAATTATTAAAGCAAAATAAACAGTATGATCCACATGATATTAAAGGATATTTAAACTAAGCTGCTGTTGACTTTTCATCACAAATGTAAAAGCATAAAATGTTGAACACAGAGGCTTAAAACATTTAAGCTGATTTCCTGTTACGGTGTGGTGTTTTATTAAACATGTTGTTAATGATGCATCACGGTTCAGATTGTGGATCCTGTATGTCCTCAGAATCAGTAGCTGTCAGTACTGTCTCTATACAGAGTGATAGTTGTACAGGTTCTCCTCCTTGAACCGTCACCTTACCGTGGTGGAGGAGTTTGAGAGCCCTAATGACCCTAGGAGCTATGTTGTCGGGGGCATTTTGCCCCTGGTAGGGTCTCCCAAGGCAGATTGGTCCTAGGTGAAGGGCCAGACGAAGAACGGTTCAGAAGATCCCAATGATGAATACTATCCAGAACCCGAGTACCCGGCCCGGAGGGACACCGGGGCCCCGCCCTGGAGCCAGGCCTGGGGTTGGGGCCCGTGGACGAGCGCCTGGTGGCCAGGCCTTAGCCCATGGGGCCCGGCCGGGCCCAGCCCGAACCGGCTACATGGGTTCGTCTCCCAGTGGGCTCACCACCTGCAGGAAGAATCAGAGGGATCCGGTGCATTGTGGATTGGGCAGCAGACCAAGGCGGGGGCCTTGGCGGTCCGATCCTCGGTTACGGAAACTGGTTTTTGGAACATGGAACGTCACCTCTCTGGCGGGGAAGGAGCGGGAGCTTGTGGAAGAGGACGAGCGATACCGGCTAGATATAGTCGGCCTCACCTCGACACATAGCGTCGGCTCCGGAACCCAAGTCCTTGAGAGGGGCTGGTCTCTCCTCTTTGCTGGAGTTGCTCCGGGTGAGAGGCGGAGGGCCGGGGTGGGCTTCTTGGTGTCCCCCAGGCTCTCTACCTGTACGTTGGAGTTTACCCCGGTGGACGAAAGGGTTGCGTCCCTGCGCCTTCGGGTCGGGGATCGGGTTCTGACTGTTGTCGTCGCTTATGCGCCGAACAGCAGTTCAGACTACCCGCCCTTTTTGGAGTCCTTGGGACGGGTGCTGGAAAGTGCCCCGAAAGGGGACTCCATTGTCCTACTGGGAGACTTCAACGCTCACGTGGGCAATGACAGCGTGACCTGGAAGGGTGTGGTGGGGAGGAACGGCCTGCCCGATCTGAACCCGAGCGGCGTTCAGTTATTGGACTTCTGTGCTAGTCACAGCTTGGCCATAACTAACACCATGTTCAAACATAAGGATGTCCACAGGTGCACTTGGCACCAGGACACCCTAGGTCGCAGGTCTATGATCGACTTTGTAGTCGTATCATCAGACCTGCGGCCGCATGTTTTGGACACTCGGGTAAAGAGAGGAGCAGAGTTGTCAACCGACCACCACCTGGTGATGAGTTGGATCAGATGGCGGGGGAAGACGCCGCGCAGACCTGGCAGGCCCAAACGGGTTGTGAGGGTCTGCTGGGAAAACCTGGCGGAAGAACCCGTCAAGATGATTTTCAACGCACACCTCCGGCAGAGTTTCGACCGCGTCCCGAGGGCAGTGGGGGACATTGAGTCCGAATGGGCCTTGTTCCGCTCTGCTATTGTTGAGGCGGCTGTTGCAAGCTGCGGCCGCAAGGTAGCTGGGGCCAGTCGTGGCGGTAACCCCCGTACCCGCTGGTGGACACCGGCGGTGGGGGAAGCCGTCAGGCTGAAGAAGGAGGCCTACAGGGCGTGGTTGGCCTGTGGGTCTCAGGAATCAGCTGACTGGTACCGGCGGGCCAAGCGGAGTGCAGCTGCGGCAGTTGCTGAGGCAAAAACTCGGACGTGGGAGGAGTTCGGTGAGACAATGGAGGAAGACTATCGATCGGCTCCAAAAAGGTTCTGGCAAACTGTCCGACGCCTCAGGGGAGGAAGGCGGCAACTCGCTCACACTGTTTACAGTGGGGGCGGGAAGCTGCTGACGTCAACTGAGGATATAGTGGGACGGTGGAAGGAATACTTTGAGGAGCTCCTCAATCCCACCAACACGTATTCCGTAGAGGAAACAGAGCCAAGAGACCTGGGGATGGATGATCTAATCTCCAGGGCAGAAGTCGCCGACGTAGTGAAACAACTGCGCGGTGGCAGAGCCCCGGGGGTTGATGAGATCCGCCCTGGGTATCTCAAGGCTCTGGATGTTGTAGGGCTGTCTTGGTTGACACGCCTCTGCAACATTGTGTGGACATCGGGGGCAGTGCCTTTGGAGTGGCAAAGCGGGGTGGTGGTCCCCATCTTTAAGAAGGGAGACCAGAGGGTGTGTTCCAACAACAGTCATGAGCTTTGGGTAATGACCGAAAGAACGAGATCGCGAGTACAAGCGGCCGAAATGAGTTTCCTCTGCAGGGTGGCCGGGCTCAGCCTTAGAGATAGGGTGAGGAGCTCGGTCATCCGGGAGGGACTCGGAGTAGAGCCGCTGCTCCTCCATGTTGAGAGGAGCCAGTTGAGGTGGTTCGGGCATCTAGTGAGGATGCCTCCTGGACGCCTCCCTGGGGAGGTGTTTTGGGCATGTCCCACCGGGAGGAGACCTCGAGGTCGACCAAGGACACGCTGGAGGGATTATATCTCTCGGCTGGCCTTGGAACGCCTCGGGATTCTCCCGGAGGAACTGGTGGAAGTGGCTGGGGAGAGGGCCGTCTGGACCTCTCTGTTGAGGCTGCTGCCCCCGCGACCCGGATCCGGATAAGCGGGAGACGACGAGACGAGACGAGTTGTACAGGTTGAGGTTTGTTAGCTGATGCTCTGTGCACATAAGAGGACACTGAGATTCAGTTTTTACAAAATAAGGAAGCTTTGGATGTACAGGATAAAATTCACCAGGCAGTACTTTTCTGCTAAATAAATTCTGCATTGTGTCACATCAGACCTCCTATCTATCTATCTATCCATCTATCCATCCATCCATCCATCCATCCATCCATCCATCCATCAAACTTGGCCTTGATTTGATATTAATCAGTATCAGTAAATTCCTGAGTGTGGATCCAAGACTCAGTATCAGTCACATTAGTGCATCATTAGTTTGGAGTCCCTGGCTGTTATGAGGCAGCTGGCCGGGGTGAGACAACACACACACACACACACACCTGTATGTGGAGGTCCTGAGGTGAATGTGGTCAGGTAGTCCATGACTCTCCATCCTGGACGCAGTGTTAACAGTGTCTCCAAACAGGCAGTATCGGGGCATCTTCTCCCCCACCACCCCAGCTAACACTGGGCCGGTATGGAGACCCACACGGATCTGAAACATACACACCATGTCATCACATACACACAGGCTGGAATACAAGACAACTACATAAGGAGCCCTCAAAGCAGTAAAAACTGATCTGATCTGTATGTGCCATCAAAGAACCAAATGGAGAACCACAGACTATAATTCCTCCTCCCCTTCCCTTTAGGAATTTCAACACAGGAACTTGTTGAAACAACTACTCAGTCAAGTCCTTAGAACTTCATAATGTGTGCCCTGATTAAGAATGACTGTTCAGGCTTTGTTGGTCAGATGAGAAACTCAGAACCACTGCTCACCTGTATGGGTTTTCCTGTTACAGGGTTTGTCACCTCTCTGGCAGCTATCCTCATACCCAGAGCAAAGTTTGCCACTCTGTGAGCATGTGTTTCTGTAGGGACTGGGACTCCCCCCACCACCATGTACGCATCTCCAATAGTCTCAACCTTTAGGAAACCAATGAAAAAATTAGTGACCAGTATCAAAGTATCACATAACAAGAAAAGTTCAACAGTTTATTGTAAAAAGGTTTTAAGAGCAGCCAGAGGTATCCAATCCGTTGTCCAAGAATCCATGTCACAAAAGTGAAGCTTAGTCTAAGAACATTTAGACACAGGGGAATGGCTGGAATGCTCACACGGTGGTAAAGACGAACTGGCAAAGGAGTCAGGGAGAGGACAGTATTTATACATAGGCAGGACAGGTAATCACACAGGTAATCACAGAAACAGACAGACAAGACCTAAGAGTGGGAGCTGGATGTGACAAATAGTTGTTTACTGTAATTATAGTCTCATCTAATACAACGGTGCATTTTGGCTTCAACACAATATCTTCATTGTTTGAACGTGACTGGTCTTTTATAACTGTATCTATAAATATTTATTTCAAACACAACTGAACCTAACCCTCCTGTGGAGATGAAACCAGGACATACAGCAAAGATAATACCTTGTAGATGTCATGTATGTTCGTGAGTCGGTCGAACTTCGAGTACATGGAGTTAAGCATGTGAACAATATGGATGGGCTCACAGGCAGCACAGATGTTAGTGAAGGTGACCACATCACTGAACAAAATAGTGCACACCTCAAACTCCCCTGAAAAAGACAGATAAGAGATAGATATGTATAAAACACTATGACTTTCCTGTGTATAAGAATTTTATGTTTTATTATTTTTCTGAAGATGGGAAATGGAAACAGGAGCTATTTCATCCCACTTATCGTTTATTATTATCAATTTATTTTTTTCTTACTTAGATTAGATTGTGAAGTTTTTTTCTCTTAGTTATTTCAGAAGTGAAGTGATGAAATAGAGCTGCCATGTGTATTAGAGATTTAGATTTGGAGTCGGTTGTTGTGCATCATAGCGGTTGGGTTGTGTATTGTGTGTCTCATTGTGAGTATGAAAGATATGGATGTGCATTGATGTATCTGTTGTCAGTGAGGTATTGTCTAAAAATTTAGGGGGGCCCCTGGAGGAGTAGCCTGGTCACAAAAGTCTGGCTAATGGGGATTTAACAAAATAAATAAATAAATACTTAAATTAATAGAAAAGTAGACACACACACCTGGGTTAACTGACTGACTGACTGACTCACCTGCCTTTACGCTCTTCCCGTCTTTAAGCTGGTTGGCGATGTGACGTGGAAGCATGGCATACAGCAGAGTTTCAGTCTTCTGTTTTTCAGCCTCCAGGTGATGCGACAGGATTCTCAGTTCCTCCTGGACACACACACACATGCAAACACACACACACATACACACTGCTGTGTCACCTTTAAAACACCCTACACATATTCTCAAGATTCAAATCTGTATAAACTGAAGGTTGATAAAACATTTCTAAACTGAAAAGTGTTGTTCAGAGTTTGAAGCTCGTCCTTGTAGCACTGAAAGGAAATGAAGTGGTAGTTGAATTATAAGCAATGAGAGATCAAAGAAGTTGGAAGCACTCAGTTCAGTCAGAGACAGTCAATGCTTGAACTGCAACCACAACCAAGAAGAGCATATTAGACTAACTGTACATGAGTGGTCATCATGACAAGTCAATTTCAATCAGTGTGTACACATTTCACTGAATAAACAGCTTGCTTTGATAAGACAATATGGACATTTTGACATTTCTCTTGACTGCTCTCATCAGTAGCAGTAACGATACATAGTCGTCTGACATTCTAGCTTGTAGAAATCGGTTAGCATTAGCTTATCCTTCTCCCTAAACAAGATGTTTACTGTAGGGTACTGTTACACAGCTAACTGATTAATGTAGCTGTCAACACTTACCAAGAGTTCAGCCAACAAGATCCCACTAAGTGTCTGTACAGCCGCCAGAAGCACAATCCATCACTTACAACTACAAATGCAGAGTGAATAGCAGCGCCCCCTTCAGGCCACTCACCGACAGGAAATTGTTTTAATGCGAAAGCCTGTCTCTTGTGGATTAGTTCTATGGCCCAGACAACAAACCTGTGACTGGAGAGTTGACTGTTCTCCATTTAAATGATGTGTGTTACTCTTCCTCCTCTCACCTCATGAGAAAACTCATGAAAACTAGTTACAGTGTATTTAGCTTTGGCAGGTCGCTGCTGCCCTCTTCTGGACAACACTGAAATACAATACACCTCTTCAGTTTGTTTTCAGTCTTGTGATTCGATTTTAATGTGACATGGCTAACAGTTCATTCATTTATTAAAGATTAAAAACTAAATAATAACCATTTAACATTTATGTTTTTCATTTAATCATGACATAAAAAGCAATTACAAATAACTGTGTTGTATTTGACTGTATTTTGTATTTGTGTCATTTCATTTGTACATTTAAAGTCTTCGTCCAGTGTGACAGTGTTTGTGATAGAGCACAAGGGTTTTATAACTGAACTACTACCATGATACACTTTGACTTTCTGTTGTTGTTTCTGATGATGTTTTCATAGCGCAGATGACGTTTACGCATTGTTAGAGACATTAAAGACATGAGGCCAATGTTAACCTATACAGGAGGTTAGTGTGGGACAGATGAACCGACACTAAATGAGAAGGGGAGTGAATAATATATTAAACATAATTATAGATGAGGTGTATTGAAGAGAAAGCATCAGTAACAACTTGTTTATATATAGATGAGAAAAAGCATGAACCAATAAACCATGTGACAAATTAAAATACTGAATATGACCCACAATGTTATAATTCATCTTGTGGGAAACATGAACATGTGAATTCATCCAGTAGTTGTTGAGACATCTGCTCACATGTCCTTTTATATGACAACATTATCATTTCCACCGAGCTGTTTCTTCTCCTGTTATAAACTGAGCTGCCAGTTTGTCAGGACTCTCACCAAAGACTACATTACCCAGAAGCTGCTTTACTTTTTTTCTCTCCAGCTGGTTGGTCAGCTCCATTTCTGCTAGACGCTGCTGGTTGAGGAGAACCAGGTCTCGAGTGACGTCATGCGGGGCCAGGTCAGCCAGGTGAAGGCCAACATCTTGAAGTTCCTTGAGGCTTCGTAGCTTTGGAGAACATAGGTACAACATACAGCCAAGAGAATCCATCCACAACATCTGACCTGCAGATAAAACACAGATAAACATGTGATAGAATTGCACTGCAGAAGGTTTCTGATCTTGTATTTCTATAGTTATAGATGAAGTTGATTTGATTGGTTGTGGGCGTGGTTTATAAAATGACTGTAGTTGTGTTTTACCTCTTAGTTTGAGCATGGAATGTTGGTCATTGTAGTTCTTCAAGACAAATTGACTGTTGATGAATTTCCTGATGCTCTCAATGGTTAAAGTCACCTGGAGAAAGAGGCTTTAATATTTACTACTGCTCATCACTTCAGCACTATTCTACTACACTTCATAATCAAACTTATGATTTGGACTCTTTGGACTAATTTCCTGCTTTATTTTGATATTACATCCTACATCCCTGTTCTGAGTTTTTTTTGTCTTGCAACTACTTCAGTTCTGTTATTAAATTACCTCCTTGCACCTTCATTTTTGTCTGTATTTGGGTAATCCTTAAAACAGCTATTGTGAAGCACTCAGTTAACACAATATATTTGTCACAGAGGTTAGTGGTGACAATGATCATTCATTAAAAATGCATCTACAAGACTTTATCATTTTTTGCTACTGAATCGGTTTGAAATGTTACAGAAAGCATTGGTACAAGAAAGACCTGCCACAGCTGAGCTTTTAGATGAACTGCAACAGGATGCATTGCTCCAACGCCTCAGTAAGGTAAGTAACTACTTTTACTGTGTCCTGCTTGTGTTGAGCACCTTCTCACACCATGTGTACCATTAATAAGATCACCATGCCATCAGGAACTGCAAAGTGTTGACTAAAAACAGAAGTTTTCAAATTCCTGTAAACCCATAGGGTTTACAGGAGTTGAAGGGGAGCAAGAAGGGAGAGACATGAAGCAAACATACTGTTTGAGGTAAAAGCAACAGGTGCATGTCAACAACAGGGGTCCCTTACTGTAGTCGTGCCCCCTGATTTGGCCTGCTTACCAACATAATCAGGAGTTGCTGCAGCAGTCATGGCTCAGCACATGGAGGCAATAAAAGTGATGTTATATGCCAAGAACATTGTGGCCTGAAACTACAGGAGTACTGAAATGTTGGAAATATGATGAACAGTATGTTGAGCTGGGTTTACTTGTGTTTGTCTATTTGTAAACTGAAACAGAGTCAGAGTCTGTTTGCTCTTTCTAGTTTGGATCCAATTTTGATGAAATGAAGTGGCATCCAGCTGTTGTATCTAAAGTTTCTGTCATTTTCATGAGTGTGACCATGTCCCATTGACAAAGGCTGGAGAATAGAGAGGACTGTAGCCTTTCTTGGAGGTTTGCACATTAAGGATAATCCTGGAATGTTTGATGGGTGATTCGCTATAGCCGCTGCCTCGGACAAAATATCAAAATAATCTCCTCTCTAACCACTTCACTGCGACCTCAATGGAAAACGTGAGATCAAAGAAAGGTGTAAGGGACTTATGGACTTAAGGACTTAGGAAAAGACACAGAGGTGTGGCGAAAATCTGACTGCATTTACAAGATTTGTTTTCCTTAAACTAACTTTATTTATAACAAATTGGGGATAAATTCTCCTTTCCTAACCACAGAAACAAAACAAACAGAATTGAAATGTTGAAATAAGATGGCATGACAGAAATGATAATACAATATAATAATTTATAATTTAAATTTTTTGTTGTTAATAAGCAGCTAAGTAGGGGACAGAATATATTATATACAGACATAAGTAGTCTAGGAGTTTTGAATTTTTTATACATTTGTTAAGTAGACAAAATTATTTTTTAGTGCAGGGAGTGGGGTTCTGGAACCACATCAAAAGTGAAAATACAGTAGAACGTGTTGGGTCATAGTGTGTGATTTTTTTTAAGGGATGGTGAAATGCCCAGATTTATGGAAAGTAGGTCTGAATGTGTATAATAAAAATATGACAAAATTATTAAGGTAAAAAGGATCATAATAGCTCATGAAGTCCTACTGCATATTTGTAAAACAGGAGATTATAACCATAATCATGTACTGTTGAAGTGGTCCTTAACCTCAGTTCCTCAGTATCCTATCAAGTTGTCAAGCTTCAGTATTAGATTATGAGGTAAAAAGAAAACCTGTGAAATATACTGACGACAAGAGTTAACAACCTAAATCAGTGGTAGCTTATGTAAAGGGTTAAAATGTGTTTAAAAGGTTTACTAGGGGACTATGGCACAGTTGATTGATAAGATTGATAAAATAATAAGTTAAACTAGAAAATTCTTGGAGAGATTTTGAATGTGCTTGCTGCTTGGTGCGCGTACTTCACTCCTTCAATCTGGGCTGCACAACAGAACCTCCAGTAGGTTCTTTTACCTGGTTGAGACTCTTGTTTTGAAGGTGTATATAAAAAAAGTAAGATGGTGTTTGTGTGTGTCTGTCAATATGTGCATGTGTATTGTTGTGTGTGCCAGTAGAGCTGTCTACCATAGAGCCTCCAAAAAGCTTGTGTTACTGGTTGAGACACTTATACAGTTAATATCCATATGGTGGTGACGGAGTTTGTGTGTCTTTCAATATATGTTTGTGCATGGTGTTGAAACTGCGTAAGCTTAACCTTCACACAGCCCTTTGAAGTTGTCAGGACCAGCCAAAATGACATCACAATAATGGTTTTAAACCAAAATTGTCTTCACAATTTTAGAAAGACATGTAGACACACGCAAAGAACCACACATCAATAAGCAGACACGCAAATACATGCAAATACACTGTGTTAATTTATTTTACAGTTGCTCACATACCTGAGCTAAAAGGCTAAGAATTAATGACTTTAATTAGCCAATCAGAATCAGCTTTGCCCATTTCTGCCCAGTAACACCTGCTCCTGAGTATTTCAGTCAGTGGAAGAGGTGGAGGGTACTCCCATCACTTCCTCAAAAACTGTAAAAGATATCAGAATATGACCAAAACTGGGTGATACTGGACAAAACAAATCTCAAAATCTTTGATATAAAAATTGGTTGGAAATTGTTGGATTTAAAAGAGCTTGTCTGACTTTTTTGAGAAAAATTTTAAAGGATGGCAGTTAGAGTGCACAGTTAGCTACGGTTAGTGAGTGTAGCTGTGCCTAAAGACAGCAGACATCGCTGAAGATATAATAAATATCACAATCCTCTTCACTGAAGTTACAACAACACCACACCAAGCAAGGGAGAGAGAGGGAGAGAGAGAGAAGCTAGTGCTAACTGCTAAGCTAAAGTAACTAGCAGATCTGAAAAGTATGTAAACAACTGCTGAGTTAGTGAAAGTCACTAAAAGGAGCACAGAGCTCTGAGTGCTGTAGCAGAACTAGTGTAAGTTTAAAAGAGCAGGTGCACTGTGATGAAGAAAACTTTGTTCAGAAAAACTGTGCTCAGAAAGAGTAGCAATAAACTCTACCAATAACAGTTGATTGGAGATGGGACACCACACTGACGTCAGCACGTCACCAAGTGAACGTCGTCACTACTATAAGTGGAAAGACGTCAGTAGAAGTAAATCACTATGTAAAAATGTAAAGTCAGTTAAAATGTTTCTGAGTAAAGGTGTTACTGTGTTACGTTTCAAAATGGGGATGGAGGGGTAAAACATGTTTTTAGGGTGATAATAATAATATATGATAAAACTATAAAATGAAAGAACATCTTTAGGTTACCAGATATAGCAGTTCCCTGGTGAGAACAGCAACGAAATCAACCAATTAATTGTAGTCAGGCACTTTGGAGCCTGAGCATACACCTACTAATTACTAATATACTCAGTTGGCAATTTGTTATTAAAATAGTTTTAGACAGTTATTGATTCAATTGATCACTGTGGAGGGTGTAGTGTTTGAGGTGTTTCTGTTATTTAGCCTATACTTCAGTGATAAAAATGGTGTGTGTGTGTGTGTGTGTGTGTGTGTGTGTGTGTGTGTTTTCACTTTTCCTTAGTGAAAGTTGGACGCAGGAGCTTTGTGAAGAGGACTTAGGACTTCTTTAGTTAGAAACTTTTAGTGCAACTCAGGAGAACTCTTAGTGGTAAGATAAAATGCTTTGTGAATAGAGGCCCTGATCACTACAATGACAACAATGCTGATTAGTGACAACAACATCCACTTAAACTCAGCTGGATCTGGCACAAGGAGATTAAGTATTGCCCTCCCTGACCCGGTGTGTCCAGGAAGGTGTATTTGTAAATCCTGCTGCTGTCTGTATGTATAAAACAAAGAAGTAAAACTTTAGCTTCCTTATAGCTTGACTTCAGGATTTATTCTGCAGCACTGCCTCCATGGGGTTTCTAGGTTCCTCACAGGTGATATGCGCCACCTATTGACCTATTTAAGTATTGCACTAACATATTAACAAGTGAAGTAGAATAAGTGAAGTACAATGAAATTAGCATTTAACCAGAATTTACAACACTATGAAATAAAAAATAAATATGTAGGTGTCAGTCTTTATCATTTAACTTATTATGTGCATCTAATACAATAGCATGGAAGGCATATATTATTATTCTACATACTTATTCATCGTATTCATCTTCCGTATCAAAATTTTGGCACGTGCATGCGGCTTGATTGGGAATGGTGTGCTATGACTTGTGCGATTTGATTAACCATGGTGACATAAAAGGCGATGAAGGGAGAAAAAATTCCCATAGAGATTGAATGGGTAGACGTCTTCAAAACAACTAACTTTGGAATTCTACTGCAGCATCATACTTCAACGTAGACTTGAGACGCTTTTCAGATAAATTGGTATTTTGAAAACTATTTCGTTTACACAAAATTGCAGTTTACATTTGGTGTCATTTTTAGACCGTTTCAGACTTTACAATGGGTGTGTATTGCAAGGGAATGTTCAGAGCTAGAGTGGATGACATCATCGCTAGAGTGGGAGAAGCTCTAGAACTCCTCTGAAAAAATTCAGTTTAACTCGTCCTTATGGCTACATAATTCAGTTTTCACACATCACGGCTTCCTGGATAGTAGAAAAATTTATCAGGTTTCATAGAATGTGTGCACAGAGACTAAGCACAGAGACTTACAGAATTTGAACATGAGCCTCAAAGCGATGAGAGTACCCTCCACCTCTCCCATCAACTGCAATACAAATTCAGGAGCTGATTTCCCAAGAAATCCATAAGTGACAATTTTTTGTTATTCGCTCCGGTGTCCACGTTTTTGATGGGGTATTAAGAGACTCTCTGATATCTGTGATGTTTCCAAACCCAGCCACACAGACATTAAGTGTGGAAATTAAGTAATTTCCACACTGACTGGGTTGTTACGGTTGATATGAGATGATATTTAATCCCCCACAAATTCCACAACGATCATTATTCCCTCGTGGTTCGTAAGCATCTTTTAAGTAAATTAGCTGCGTGTAAGGTTTCCAAAACACTGCAACGTGGAATGACAGCAGCCCTTTTATGATTCTTGATTTTGTGATTTGGTCTTGGAGTTAGGAGTCCTTTGGACAACTTCTAACATCTCCCAGACTTAGCAGCTACTTTTAGAGCTAAGTGGCTTTGTGAATTACTCTTAGGAGTCCTAAAGTTAGGACTGACATGCCCATTGTTTTTAGGAGTTTCTCCTAAATCGGCAAGTTAGGAGCTACTTTTACCCTTAAAATATTTTGAATATGTGCCCATGATATATTTTCTGTTTTGGTTTGTATATTTGTATGTTTGGTAGGTCAGCATAGATATCTTAACTACATACTTGCTTGATCATGTGCATATATTCTATATTTAAAGATCAACTAAGCATATTGAACCTCTTAGTTGAACTCCATTAAATGCTGTGATTCCATACTGCACTATTTTCAGTTCATTCCAGTTGTTAGTGTATTTTTATTTAGTTTTGATATATTGTATTTTAATGTACTCTGGGGGTTTCACACCCTCACACCTCTGTTACTAAATCTATGAACTCTTAGCTCTGTGCTTGTGTTTTACCTGTGGGTGTATAACAGTGAAGTACTGATCCAGTGCAGCATCTCTGGCCTGAAGACCTGGAACAAACTTCTGTATATTCACCCCTGTCTGCCTTATCTTCAGCTGACGGATTAGAAACAATGACAGACAGACAGTTAAACCCAAACCCAAAATATTTTCAGTGTACCACTGAATTCAATTAAATTTAGTCCCACACTGTCATGAAGCTACTGAAACACACGGATACATGGACCCTTACATCTTCGTCAAAGACAATATGGAAGGGAAAAGCATTGCAGAAAGCCTTCTCTTCCATCCACAGCTTGTCTGGGTAACATGGTCTGAAGGTGCACTGGTGGCTGCCTAGGAAGTAAATCAAACACACTCATTTCATCAATGTTGGATAAGTTACTCTTATTTATCCTGGTTTTATGGGTGGCAAATTAAAAGAACCTCAAAAATGAATGGAGAAACAGTAAGACGATGTCCCCATCCATAGTGCTGGAAGGAACGCTGATGCTTTGAGGATGATGATAATGTGAATCATATGCAGTGATCTTCATAGTCACCCGATCTCAAGCCAGTCGAACCATAAGAGATTTTGGAGCAATGTGTCAGTGTCAATATGTCTCCACCACCATCATAAAAACACCACATGAGGGGATACAGTGGCAAGAAAAGGAAGTGAACCCTTTCGAATTACCGAAATTTATGTATAAATTAGTCCTTAACTATGGTCAGATCTTCATCCAAGTTAGTATTATGAACAAACAAAATCTATAAGAGCTCTCAGATTTACGATCAAGAATTGTTGATTACCATGAAGCTGGAAAGGCCATAGAGTTGACTCAAAGAGTTTAGATCTTAATCCGTCCATAAGCAGACAAACTGTTTATAAATGAAGATGATTCAGTTCTGTGGCTTCTCTCCCTAGAAGTGGACATTCAGCTAAGATGGCTCCAAAAGCTCAACACAGATGATCAGTAATGTTAACAAGAAGCTCAGAGTAACAGCTTAAAGGTATAATATGTACGATCGTGCTGCTTGCTCCATCTTCATAGGGGGCAGCATTTCATCTCTTCGCCCCTGTCCAGTTAATCATGTTGTTTTTTTCCCCATGTTCTTTATAATTTATATGTGCATTAATGATTGATAGTTAAATTGTTAATAGCATTTAAACAAATTATGAATATTTGTCGTACAAACAGTATGTTTTTACCTATAAAAATATGGAGGCAAGGGGATACTGCATGACACATGGGCGTCAGGCTATAGCAGCATGAGGAAGGGATGATTACATCATCACAAAGGCAGAATCAGAAAATAAGGTTTATTGCCAGGTGGGTTTTTATTTACAAGATATTTGGCTTGGTGTTTGGTGCAGTATCCAATAAACATATTAACAGGAAATAACAATAAAAAGTTAAAATACTGCAACAGTCAAAAAGATAAATATAAAATAGATACACATATTTAAAAAATGAAACTATGTAAAAAAAATATGTACAAAAGTGTTGACTATATGAATACTCAAAGGTGTTACTGTAATGTGGTTGATGATTGATGAGGCCAGACACAGAAGAAAAGGCAGGTGCTGGTCCATCACTGGGGATGACTGGACAAATATGTGAAAGGACAATTTGTTTAGATCACACAAGTTCTTTATATTCAAACATGTTGGGTCTGTTGTGTATGTATATAATAAATATTATGGATAGATATGAATATGTTAAAATAAATACAGTACTAGGCAGTGGATCCTGAACCTGCTGGATCTGGATCAAACAGTCGCTTTGTCTTACTTGTAAAAAAAACTGATGCATCTAGCTGGACTACAGCCGAAGGAACAGGCTAAATTCTACTAAATCACTAAAACGTCAACATCATACATTTATGCCACTTGAAGTGTTTGTCAGTACGGTTTGTCATTTGCACGAATGATAGTTTTCGCTACAGACCAACATTAGATGTTACTCACCTCAAAGAAAAGTCTCATCTCTTTACTCGCTGTCTCCCGCGGTGGAAAAACACACCAGCATTCATCCGTGTTTTGCTTCTTTGCCGTTGAACGTGGTTTCTTGTCGGGGCTGTCCTTCGGGGTGGAGATAAAGATCGTTCTCTAGGCGCTTCAGACATCTGTGTGTTTCTGTGATGCTCGTCGGCAGCTTTTTTTTTGCTGTAGCTTAACTTCAAGCTCAGGAGAAAGCTGTTCTTCTCCGTGTGACTGAGGGCAGACTCGACGCTGCACTGACTCACACAGTATATAGTGTGTCTGGGTGGTACCTGTCTGGCCTATTCTGTCCTCTATTATCATACCAAAAGGGATGCATGCATCCATCCCTTAGTGATGGAATTCCGGCTCTTTGTGGAGAGCCGGCTCTTTAGGCTCTGCTCACTAAAAAGAGCCGGCTCTTTCGGCTCCCAAGTGGCTCCTCAGATTTTTTGTTACCTAAATTAATTTATTACCAAATTATGTGTAAAATGAATAACTAATGTAAAAAACATAAAATATAACATATGTATAGTATGTATATGGCTTTATTAATACACTTAACATAACTTAACATATACATAAATAAATTTTAAATAAAAAAGACCAATTTTAATTTGTGAAAAAACACAAAATCAACTAAACATCACTCAACAAAATATAAATTAAAATGTGCAACCATGTACAGTGAAAAACAAAACACAAAATGCGAGTGTCTGTAACCCCTCCCCTCCCCCCTCCTGCTCAGTGTAGTCACACAGACGCTGACACAGCACACATGTTGACCAATGCGGCTTTAAAAGACAATTTAAAAAAAAAATCGCTCTGATCGGGAGCCGGCTCTCTCGATCGCGAGCCGGCTCCCGTCGTTCACTTCAAAGAGCCGGCTCTAATCTGGCTCTCGTTCGCGACCGACCCATCACTACAGAACATATGCCTGTTGCATTGATCAGGGACAGGTGAGAATGGTCTGCAATCTGGGTTTGAACAAAGCAACAAGCATCCCCTAACCCATCCGAGAACATTCAGAACCTGTTTCCAGTCTCTAAATGCATAAACACACAAAGCTAAAAACAAAAAAAGCCCAGGATCAGTAAAAAAGTTTTTTTTTTAAAAAAAACTGATTATCTGTATGTACAAAAGACTCCGCCGATCAGACTGTATTGTTGATTCCGCTGTTGCCTGGCAACGGTGATTACGTAGTACTTACAGTGCCAGTTTCCGCCATTAGTGGCGCGTTTTAAGTTTGTTGCCTTTGCAGCAAAGTCAGTAGATTCGAGTGCTCAGTTAGTAGACGTCGTCAGTGCCTTGTCTGTGTGTGTGTGTTATCACTTGTGCGTACCTGATGACAAGTAAGTGTTTATATTGAGTTAATGTCGTAGTTTGTCATGTTGAGAATGAGTCGCATTAGGCGGACGTTTGGTTTAGCTAACCGCTAAGCGGAGATTTAGCATCCCTGTGTTCTCTATGGCGTGATGCTAAAGCTAAAGTACTTGCATTAGTTAGCATGAGGTGGATGCAGTTTTAAGTGGGAAAGAGTAACCTCTGTAGATAGTTAATAATACAGAGATGTGTGTAATGCTTTGTATTAGTTTGGTATGTCTAATATGAATCATTCTGTAATACAATGTAGTCATTTATTTATTTCTTTATTTCTTTGCAGACCATACATACATACATACACACACACGAGCCTGTACCTTCTGAGAGATCCTGTACGAAAGTTGAAGCACATTAAAGGTTTAAAGGAAGACTGCTTGCACTTTATCAGGTTCTAACCGACCTGCCTGAGCAACACCACCTCCAACCACATACAGTCCTACCCTCACCAACATTTGGTCCTTCGAGCCGGATGGTGTTGATTCGGATCAAGATGCAAGAAGGCAGTGAACCAGTTCGTCCAAAGCGGCAGACACGCCCGCCACTTTACCTGGAAGACTATGTGCTTGGAGCAGCCAGGCCCAAACAATATCAGCCTCCATCAGCTATAGGGAGCAAAGGGAGCACAGGTATGGAGGGAGCAGTCAAGATGGCACCCACCACCCAAGCTCACGCCTCACACTCTACACGTCAAGTGCAGTGGGACCTAGCCCTCAGCGAACAAGAGGATGAGCATTCTCTCTGTATGAGTGCAGAGTATGATGGATGGCATAAGAAGTTAATTGAGCATACGCCCTCCTCTCCAAAGCATGACAGTGGAAGGGGCCTTGCTGCTGCTTATGGAGCTGAATTAGAGGAGATTCGTAAGCAGAACAGTGAACTGTGCCAGTCATATGAGTATATGCTACAAAACATTGAAGGACTCAGAGACGTCCACAGAAACGTGAGATCACTAGAAGATAAAGTGAGGGCTTTAGGTAAAGCCCAAACAGAGAGTCAAGAAACAGAGTGGCTAGACTTACCTCTGCTGCCAATGCCTACGCCGTACACTATAGACGGAGCGGAGTACGACGACAACGACAACAAATGGCCTCCTCCCCCGCCCTGGCCTCCAACAGCTCCATCAGGAAATGACGGTAATGGGCACATCATCTCAGCCATAGACAAAATGATGGGCGAATTGCAGCTGTTGAAGCAGAGTGCTGCCTCTGGGTCCTCAGCAGCGGGCCACTGCTCCTCCACCCCCAGTGCAGGCTGCCCTCCTAGGCCCAAACCACCTACACTCTCTCAGTTTTCTCCAACCGTGGGCATGGCCTACTATCCACAGTTCAGTCTCCCACCCCGCGGAGCCCAGTATGGTCTAGGCGCACGCACCAGATACTCACCTAGCCCCGGAGCGGGCTTCAGTTCTGCACGCGTAAGCCACCAGCGGTCATTCAACTCATCTCAGTCTGAAGAGAGCGTGTACAGGGGCCCTAAGCCAAAGATCCCCTTCTTCACCCATAGGGATCCAATGGATTACGCCCGCCTGAAAATAGCCCTCATAAACCTCTTGCCTGCAGATAGTACTGAACTCTTCAAATATCAAGTACTCACTGATCACTTGAAGCCCGAGGAGGCTTGTCTTGTAGCCGATTCTTACCTTCACTCGCTTACGCCCTACTCAGACACCATGGCGGCATTAGATGAGAAATTCGGCCAGCCCCATCATGTAGCACTGAAGAGGATAGCCGCGGTCATGGAAGCCCCAGAAGTGAAGCGTGGGGATGTTGCAGCCTTTGAGAAGTTTGCACTACAAGTACAGTCCCTAGTTGGCATGCTTCAGACCCTTGGGCCTGACGGAGATGTCGAACTGCAATGTAGCTCTCACGTCGCCCGCCTCATCACAAAGCTGCCATCTGAAATGCGAGCTGACTTTCGCCGCCAGATGCTCCAACGACCTGGAGCTACATACACCCTAGTTGACCTGGCAGAGTGGCTAAAATACGAGTCC